GTATTTGAAATCTCGTGGAATCATTGGGGAAAATCCATATGAGGTTCGGAAGATAGATGCCATGAAATGATCGGAAGGTCAATGAATAATATCAAAAATTGACTACGTTAGTATGCATCAAATCCGAGCAACAAACCAACCTGCTAATGTACCCCATGTTATCACTGCACTCATAGTAGTACAGAGTATGATCCTTTTTCATCAGTGGTGTTCTTACAAAGTACATGAATCAAGTTTATGCACGTGGCTGATATCAAAATCTCCGATGAGGGCTTGCCAAAATCTCCGCGTTACATTTCAAATGTCATCTCAATCACGTATGATAGCATTCACAATGTTATCACTCAAAAAAAGACCTTATTCTTATCTAGCGGATACGGAAGTAGGCTTCCGTTTGCAATTCGGTGCCGGATGTCCATTCCCAATATTCAAACATCACTATCATTATGTATCATAAAAATAGATAGAGTTTTGAATTTTGACACTCTTGCAGATAGCAAACGCGGCAAGACGTCGAATGCGAAATCATGGTTCCTGATAAACGTTGATCCACCCGACGCACCTTCAACATTGATTCCGTATCAGATACTCAAAACGCACAAAATCCGAACCTAGACTGAACAAATTCTGTATTGGGAAGCTCAATAGACTAATGTGTCTAAGGCAAATCAGCGTGTCCACTGTCAATCCAACCCCCTCAAGACCCCAGAAGCTTTGAAAATAGAAGCACCTCCCACGGTTTTGACGAGGGATTGTTATCAGGTCCTTTGACTGAACTTCTTTCACAGCTGCCGTATTTCGAGAATCTGAAGCGATAGATATCTACAATAGGGAGTCATTATTAGGATCTACATTCGCATGCCGCAGTATGGGTTGTGCTACTTATCTACATATATTGTGTACCCCCACGCTACCAATCGTTCTTCTCAACCATGGTCCATGATTTTGCAAATATCTCAAGTGAGATAATCGCACAATCTCAAATGCCTTCCTCGACTTTGCTCGAAATAGCGTTGTCTATCAAAGTTTCCACGAGGTTCTCCATGCAAGTTCATCAATCTTGCCCCTATGTACTACAGACGAACACGGCATCACCGCCAGGAATGTACCCATAACTCTAGACACACTCTCAATGCATTTTTGCAAATAATGGTATCGTACCCACGCAATATCATTTTCTCTTACAGACTGTATGATGAATATTTGAGGAGTGCAAAGTTCACATTTTGCAGCGCGTCATTGCTCTTTTATAGTGAACGTTAACTATCTCGTGAGATTGAAAAGACAGAAGCAACATATTAGCAGATGCCACAATGCTGGAGCACGATGGACCAGACATATCCGTGAACTCGAGGTCATTCGTTTGACCACCCACAATAAATTGTAAGAATCCATCACTTCACAACATTTCACCTCTACCACCACAAACTTCCTCGCTGAACCTCTCCACAAGACTCCCAATACTCGGCTTTGGACTATCTCTATGTCACTCTTTCTAGCTTGGATCCCATCTCTTCCACGAAGATTTGTGTCTCTTATATTTTAAAGCTGTTGTGGGAATTCAAACTTCAGTGTCACATCGTTTTGGGGGAAGTACCCACCCAAGAAAATGATCAGTTCGATATGTGATAAGATGGTTGACAATGGGCACATTGAAATACATTATAGTAGTAGGAGGGCTCTTTCATTGTTTACCTAATTCAAACTGGTAAATTGAAGAGTGGTTAGAAACTTTCAACTTCGTTACTTTTTGATGAGGCTTTTTAGTTTTTTAATCTTGGATATGAGTGCCTGTTAGAAAATAAAGGAAGGGATCATGATCAATCACCTTTACTTCAATCTACATTCTCGTTCTCTCAAATGCTCAAGATTATGTAGACATTCACTTATTGAACCTACGTCAGCTCCAAGATGTCTAGGTAGCTCACTCAAAACAACATCTATCTACTCTTGACATCGCCATGTCAAATATAATTCAACCTTCCATTGCACACTTCTCTTCTTGCTCTCTTCACTTTATTCTCATAGCCTTGTTAGGCAGGTGAAGTCCCTGAGCTATGGAAGTACTTTTGGGAATTTTTTATTATCACACCGATTCGCCGCTGCTAGCTCTATCCGAGGTTTCTTCTCACGATAATCTTGAAAGTTTCGGTTTGTTTAGTTCATACAATCGGACAACACGTGAGTAAGATTCTCATTTGATACACAAGTCTATTTCTCGCGAGTTTGATTGATTTTTTTATGAAGATATCAAATGATATCACTCAACAGGATATCTCTGCTCAATTTTCAACGATGAGTACCTACTTACAACCTCTACATCATTTTGTCACCCAGGGTCATTGATTGTGTTTTGCAGAGGTAATCGTCTGGGCTACGTGTTGACGGCATTTGCCACCGGATGTTTTGTGTAATACAAAATATTGGATGGCAATAATGAGTGGCGGCTGCTTGTAAGAAATCGAATTCTCGGTATCGGCAACAGGATATTAAGCTTTCAACAAGCTTTCAACAAGCTTTCAATCTTCTTGGTGTAGGTATCTTGAGTTGTGTTCGTGAATTCCCGTCTACGAAACGACGTTAAGATTACAGTCCCTGACATGATGTGAAGCTGCTTTCGACAAGCTTCATCGGCAACCAGTTTGCTAATGGAAGTGCACACTACGACCCACCAAACACGCATCCTGAGCTGAACCAGTGACTTTGCAACTCCGATCTCTCTACAGTGTGCTTGCAACATGTGGAATCTTGACAATCTTTATTGGCAACCGATTTTCTGCTGATAGTGTACGCAACGTTACCTGCGAAGACAGAATGGAAAACAGGTTAAGCCGAACTCAGAGACACGCGAGTGATTACGACTCACGGCATCGAATTTCTTCAAGCTTTGTAAAGATGACCAATATACTGAAGACAGACTCATGGATATCGATCCCACGGTTATTCCTCGCATAGGTAGTTAGAATTCGCACCTTTCCACAATCCAGTTGGCCCAAACGGTGAACCCGGAATGAAAGACAAGATGTTTAGATGAAGACTCGGGATCAAGAATATAGAGACTGTGTTGTCTAAGAATCCAATTCCTAAGGTAATGTATAGTCGTATTCTATTACCATGGTAATCCCATATGTGTTAATCAGTTATTCAAATTCATTTACCCTATTTGATATTGGGTTGATATTGTAAATTCGCAAACGCAAACGAAACTACATCATAATTCATTATGTAATCATATATTTCTTGAACCAGTTTATTTTCATAAATGTAGATTTACGGAATCAATTCTAATTGGTTACAAATAATTATGTAGTCTTTTGATTGGATGTACTCGTCGTTGATGTTAGGATAGAGTTGTTTTGATACGTTGCTTTCATCCAATTCAAAGGCTGCATAATTATCTATGATCAATTGGAATTGGAATTGATTTTATGAGTTTGTAAATATGAAAATGGCCTGGCTACCTACCTAGAGAGATGTATGATTATATAATGGAGTACAATTTGATCTTAAGATGTTCGAATTTGATGTTGTAGGATGGCATATGTATTATATAAAATGATTATATTTAAACATCTATAATGACCATACCTAGGCATACTACCTTAGGGTTGTACCTTAACCTCGATCAGAAAAGGAAGGAACGAAGGAAGGTACTTCTCAATCTACTTTTCTTCAATCTAGTAATCCGACAGTATCATCGTTTTCATTACCAGGCTACTTTGAACTATCTGGAGTAGTATTGAATTTCCTTGGGTTGCAATCATTTCGAGTGAGAACTATTTCCGATATTCTCCCTCCCCATCTCAAGCGGTCAATCATTCAAGGCCGCAACCGTTTGCTGACACAAATTTAAAACGATACCTAGATGTGGTAAGTATGACGAGTAAATAATTCAATATCAGTGTGAGATCTTCACATCCGTTACCGAATGAATTACGAAGAGGCTTATGGGTTGTGGATAGTGATATCACATCGTTTGTTTCCATCATGTTTCCATCGTATTATGTCGTGAAACGATTAGGTAGAGAGAAAATGGGATAGGCGCGTAGCATATCATCAATAACTTTATCGATTGTGAATCACAATCACCATCACCATCACCTCCGCGCATCACAAAATCGGTCCATCAAATATCAAACCCGGTCAAAAGACGGGTCCGCGTCTAAAATAAAAGTGCAAGATGAACAAAGATCTGCCCATCCCACCCCAAATACATATCTGCTCATGCGTACACCTCCCTCTCAGCCCCAAATCTCACACACACTTTCCATGCCCTCATACCTACAGTGACATACAAACAGTTTGCGTGCCACCTGCACATACCAATCAGCAGATGGAGCCCCATCATTGGCGGGAGCGAGGGGGGAAATAGGGAGCGGGCGCATAGCTTACCCATCCTTCACGGGCGAACCGAACCAATGGTGAGGGCGCTAATAAATAGCCCGCAAACGTGCATGCGCATCCTGTTGCTCCAGGGTTGAAATTATCCTAACCTATCCTGACCTAACCTATCCACGCCAAATCCCATTCTCACTTCTCACTTTGATCTCACTCTACATACCCACCCGCGCTGCGCCTCCATGCCATGTATGTGAGCGTGGATATCTAAAAATCCTAACGATGATTGATTAATTGATTGAGAGTGAAGGATTTTGGTGCAATGGATTATGTATGTATGGAAGGGTAGGGGAGGGGGGGGGGGGGTGTTGATTAATGTGTTGGTATCTTCCCTGGTCATATAGGCTTCCTCGAGGAATTTTTTCACTTCTTCTTTTTCTTCTCTTCTTTTGGTAATTCTGTACATGTACGTATGTATGTTTGATTAGTTATTTGTTTGAGCAAACCATTATTTGAACTTATTGGATTTGGATTCGAACTTGAATTTGAAAACGACAAATGCGACAAGTGTTCGTAGAACATTGGAAGATTATTAAGTGAATAGAAAGCGATAATGTTGAGTTGATATATGAATGGGATAATAGGAAGTGAGAAAGCTGGAAATGATTATATCGATTCAGAGATGGAGGGTCTTGGTGGTCTGGTGCGGGTTACTGGACATGGCGTTTGGCGGTCACGACGGGAAGACGGATGGAAGGAAAATTGGGCAGGACAGTTATGGGGACAAGAGGAGCTCGTCATTGTCGCCGCAAATTAACACTTCTCGAGCTGCTGGGGATGAAGTTAAAGGGGCTCCATGGTATTATTCTACTACGTGGCCGTCCTTTGAAGAGAATCGTACTGTGTCTTTGAATCAGTCCTATACGCCCCGTTTCGAAGTTGGATCTCAAGGACCACCAGATGCGAAATTTCTGGCTTTATGTTACACTACCAATTTCCAAGCACCAGAATCGGCCAACATATATTATGTTGTACCCCTGACATGTAAGTGATTGGCAAGAGAATATCCGTCTCTTCTAAGGCAGGTCTAATGAAAATTGCAGACGAATGTCCAAACATTGACCCCTCTTGTCAAATCGAAGACCAGAAATCAGGGACGGCGAATTTAGATATCAATCTCTATAATACTAGTGCAGGCCTCTCTACCTTTACAAAGCCGAACTCAGCTTTCTTTCTGTGTTTCAGCAATGGTAACGACCCTGTCGCGGGCTTCCTCTGCGAGTCTTACAGCCCATACTTCCAGATATTACGCAGCCCCTCGCTTCTTAATCAGAAAAGGGAAGACACGGTAGATTTAGTAGCAGCCGAATCATCATCTTTGTCGGCTTTCGCGAGCTCGTTTGTGGAAGCCGTCACAAGCTATGCAGCTCCAGCGACTCCGCTGTCCGTCACGGCAAGCACGACAATCTTTTTGCCTTCAGGAGGATCAGTGATCCCAGCGTCAACAACTGCGCCCAATATAGCCATTTCAACATCATATGCCTCGACTGTAACGACACCTATATTAACGCCAACCGGTGTCGACGGCTCGGCTAGTGCAACTGGTACCTCTGACTCATCCACCTCCACCTCCACCTCCTCGAATTCCAGCGGACTCTCCCTAGGCGCCAAAATTGGCATTGCTCTCGGCGCCATAATTCTTGTCTTCCTCCTCCTCCTAGCCCTCCTTCTTCTCCTCCGCCGCCGCCGCAAGAACCCCCTAAGAACCCTCCCGCACCCCCGAGAATCTTCTCCTCTCCTCCTCCCTCAAACACAACAACGACTCCAACTCCCTCTTCATTGCCGAAAAACTCGCTCTCACCGATCGCAGCGACACAAACACCCCTCTCACATCTCGGGGTGCCGGAATCCTCGGCGGAACATTCGATCACGACGATGATCTCCATCAAGATTTACCCGCGCCCGGAAGTGCCTTTACAGCAAACACACCTGTACCCATTAGTCCGCGCCGCAGCCAGGCTGCCAACACGCTGCGAAGCGAAGCGATAGGAAGTCGCGCCGTGAGCATCGCATCCGGGATCTCACGGCCCGTATCCCCCGTCAACAGCAGTGCGGCGAATAAGATCGTAGGCCTCAGTCGAGAAAATAGTCGCGAACGTATTGGCGATAGGAGTATCTTTGATCAGGAACCGTATACGGATAATATAAGCGCAGGCGCAAGTAGTGGGGCGGTAGGCATGAATGGGGATAGAAATGGAAGTCGCACGAATTTAGACGTGCCGAAAGTGTATAAAGGGGCGTTACAAGCGCCTTTCCTCAGCGAACCGGGGATGTCGGCTGAGGAGGTAGCGAGGTTGGAGGAAGAGGAGAGGAGGATTGACGAGGCGATTGCGGAGGCGGAGGAGGAGAGGAGGAGGGCGAGAGAAGCAAGAGGGAGATAGAGATTGATGGCTTGCTGGAGTGGGAAGTTGGAAGTTTTGGAGTTTTCGGATCTTTTACTGTTTGGTAATTTATATATACACCGTGCTAATATAGTGGGTGTGAAATTGCGATATTGTGTATCGCGATTCTGGTATATCTTGTTATATACACTTATTCATTCATATATTTATAACTATTTGTAGTGCGATTCCATATACATATTTCGTTATTTATCGGACTTTTGTTTTATCCATTGTTTGTATATTGGGGAATGCATAAGTATTTTTATTATATAACTGCTACATATGTATATATATGTGAATGGATTTCATTTAACATTCAAGGTAAACTCTATAATCAGTTACTTCATTTCTTGAATCACTCCAGGGCATTTTTCAATCTGCTCATAGGTTATTGAAACTAAAATATACCCAAGCGGACATGATTCACGAATACTGTAATAGCTCCGTGTACATCTAACAGGCAGACAAACCTTCTGTAGACAGAGAGGCCGAGAAAAGAAAGGGGAAATGAGAGAAGAGGAGAAAAGAAGGAATGGAAGCCGTTACAAAACTGAATGGGGCGATGTAGATAGAGCAGAAAAAGCTTAAGAAGGGAATACTATACATAGGAACAAATTACCAAGTGGATACAAGAACGAATAGAAATTCTTTCAAAAAAGACCCCCTACTTCCCCCAAAATTTCAAGACTATTCTCCACATAGATAGATAGATAGATATCAAGTCAAATACATCATATCTGCACGCCCGCCAGAAGAATCCGAACAAAAGCCAGAGAGATCTAGAGGCCAATCACTCACTGCAAAAACCGTCCAAAAAGTATAGTATCTCAAGATATCTATCTCTCGGATCATACAAGAGAGTTTTCAGATCACTAGGATTCACAGCTTCTATATATTCATGCGATCGCAGCGATCTTCTTCTCAAGAATGGGAAACCCTTGTTGGCAGAATATATTTTTGACTCGCGGAGCGTCGATATCTTCATATGAAGATTTTTGGGAAGCGGATGCACAATATAGACGTTCTGAGCGTGGATCGAAGAATTGAACTTTGTTCCTGGCGAACAAATTCTCTTCGAAACTGCTATATGGTGGTTGAGATTCGGGAGTCGTCTCTTCGAATGCAGTCTAGGTTCTATGATGCTATATCATGTTTTATTACACGTGTGATGCGCCTCTCGCTAAATAGATTCCATCATTCTGCATTCACCAGAGCCGGATGGCGTGCCTGACTCGCGTGAAACACCTTGCAAAGCTTAACCCTTGATCAATACATCACATTCTATCATTCTATCATTCCAATAATGGCGGGCACTCTTTGCGCAATACTGACTGGTTTAGCAGACATTTAATGATCATCATTACAAGAGTCCACATTCTTCGAAATAGTGTAATTGCAAACAGTTCCATAGAAATCTGTTTTACCTTCATTTCTCTTTACCCACGGGTGAAAATTCATTCACTCACTATGGAAAGCTTCACGGCACAATCAGACTCGACAACTATTCCTAATGTACTCACCGCTACAGCTGGTGCCTTAAGGAAGCTACTCCAGGGTGGTAAAGTGAGTTCGGTCCAGCTTGTGGATCTATACCTGAGCCAAATTGAGAGACACAATCATCGAGGCCTGAAATTGAATGCAATGATAAGCACAGCACCCAAGAAAATTCTACTTGACATTGCCAAATCTCTTGATGATGAGCGTGCTGCTTGGCATACCAGAGGCCCCTTCCATGGCATTCCTGTTACCGTGAAGGTAAGCTGCCCAACCATAGCGAAGGAATCCACCTAAACAATTCTTAGGACAGCATTTGTACTGATGTGTCTCTGGGAATGGATACTGCTTGTGGTTCATATGCTTTGGTTGGTTCTATTCCTCAGCATAATGCTCCTATCATGGATCACGTAGGTGAAGTCCTTGCTCCAAGCGTTGAACGACATGCTAAAATGTCGTCTAGCTTTTGAAAGCGGGTATGATCGTTATAGGAAAGGCAAACTTATCAATAGGCGCTTTGCCGTGCCCTGTTCGTGTAGCTACTAGTCACTGCGATCATAGGAAATGAGTGGCTGGAAAGGGTTTGGGATAATAACAGGATGGTCAGCGGTAGGACAAACACAGTCACCGTATATTGTTGGGGGGCTCTTTAAGGGAGAAAAATTACTCGAGCAGACTGTTAGTGTCAGCAAAACATCTCACAGTCAAAGAATTGAATGAACTAAGTCCTCCGAAGGCTCCAGCAGGATCATCATCAGGAAGTGCTTCTGAAGTTGCAACCGGCTTTGCACCACTGGCAATCGCAACCGAGACAGACGAATCGATCACGCAGCCTGCGAACCGTGCATCACTATTCGGCATAAAGGTAATCCGTGGGTCGTGCATCGACCGAAGGTACGGCCCCTTGGTCTGCCTTAACAGACAGTATCGGTGGTATGGCAAAGTCGACACAAGACTTAGCATACCTGGTAGATGTCATCCTTGGCACAAACATCGCTCCAACTTTGAACACAAGTTGGAAAGGTCAAACTGTTGGCTTTGTGGATAATACACTCTGGGGGTTCTCCGAATTCATTTGCACCCCAGATCCTGTGCTCATTACCCAACAACGCGAAGCTTACATGGATACCAAGAAGAAGCTCATTGAACACGGAGCGACATTTCACGAAAATATTCCTCTGACTTCCGTGGATGAGCTTCAAATCGATGGTGATGATGCTCTCGATCAATTATGGAGTAAGTAATAGCCTTTTTGCGTGTCAATAACCATATTTTGATCTCATACAGACCATGATTATGCGGAAGCATGGGAGAAGTTCTTGAAAAACTTTCCTAGAAGTTCAATGAAAAGCATTGCAGACATCGTAAAATTCAACAAGCTAAACGCAAAGGTTGCTCTGCCTGCGGGTAAGTGAGGCAGCCAAGACGAATGGAATTTATAAAACAATACATCAATTTGGTCTTGATGTAATTGTTGGACCCATGGATGGTCGCATACCTACCATTGCCGCCGCAGCAGGCTATCCAGTAGGCACTGTTCCCTTGGGCTACTCTCAGTCAAATGAACGTCCAGTTAGACTTGCTGTTGTTGTTCTGGCTAATAAAGAGCACAAAATATTGCAATTCATGACTGCATGGGATAAATTCACGCCATCGCGTTGACCCCCTCCCCAACTAATGAATTAGAATTCTCCTAAGTACTCTAACATCTTGGTTTAGCTACTGAGCCAGGAAATGAATTCGCCGAGAGACAACCACCGAAAGTTGTGGTTGCTAGGAGAGGATAGGTTTGGTGTTGATGATGTAGGTTGGGTGGGGACGAGTTTAGCCATCTACTTCTAAAGAATACCTTTCTGTATAATAAAGTACATTTAGAGATTTGAGAAAGTAGAGAATGAACGTCTTTGGCTGGAAAGATTTGAATGAAAAGTCATCAGCCAATGGCAGACACAGATTTTGAACTGCTTGTCCTATCATTCCGGCTCCTGGCCCTTCCACTTTTCTCTCATAGCCTCAACATCAAAGCCGCATAATGCTGCCCTCTTAACCACCTCTCTTGCCTTTCCTGTAACTGGGGCATCAATCATCTTGTTGTCCAATGTCCACGCTCCTTTCCCCTTCTTCTCCGCCTTTTCATCTGCGATGACTACTCGTACACTCCACTCGACTTCTTTCTCTCCAGGTGCAAATGCTTTCTGAACAATATCCACTTGGGAAGGATGTATACATTGTTTTCCATTGAACCCTAAACCCTTTCCCTGAAGAGATTCTTCTTCCAAACGAGCTAGTCCCTCACTTCCCCTATATGATGTACACACTAAATCAATGGTCGATGGGATATCAAATGCTCGTGCACAAGTTGCTATGTGACTTCTCGCATATAGGAATTCGTCAAGACTAGGTGTTCGTGTAATGCTTAAATCCAAAGAGAAATCCTCAGCGGCGAATATTAGGCCATGTAAGTAGGGAGATGCTTGACAGATTGAAGAGAGGTTTATAAGAGATTGTGCGGATTCTATGAGAGCGAGTATTTTGATTGGGTTGGAAGAAGACGATGGAGTAGATGGATGTCGAGAGGGAAGGGTATGACGAAGAATATCATTTATGAAGTGGAGATCGGAAGCCGAGTTTACTTTGGGTACTACGAGAGTGTCAAGGTGTTGACTCTTGAGGACTTGAGTGAGATCTTGTAGAGCGAGGCCTGATGACACGGAGTTTATTCGTACAGCTAGTCTATGGTGATAGTGGAATCAGCAAATATATTTTCACCTTCTGGAGGACAAAAAGACTTATCAGACACAAAATACATACTCTCCTACATCTTTCGGTCTTTCGCCCTTTAGAAAACCCACAATATTTTTCCTTGCCATCTCCTTATTCCCCAATGTCACCGAATCCTCCAGATCATACGCAACAGTATCAACCTTTAGTCCTCGGGATTTCTCTAAAAACTTGGGTGAAGATGATGGCACTTGTTCGTAGGTTAGCTACCCATGAGGGAGCTTCCATATATGGTCTTCAGATGGATAGCATACCATAGAGGAGAGCCCTTCGGAGGACAGAAGCTGCTGCGTTTCGCGACATTGCTATTTCGAAGTACAAGGATCAATTGAAGGTTGAAATAAGTTGAGGGGCTTCAAAATTTCAAAGATTTTGAAGTGCTGATGGAATTTCAATTGATGTTGCGCTTCGGGAGCTTACCCCACAATATACAACTCGCTAGGCTTGCTCACCTGGCCATTAACAGAAATGCACTATATACTTAAGTACTGTGCGGTATATATATTCGTTTTTCTATTTATTTTACTTTGGAAAGACACAATACCAAGAGGTAAAATATTTTGGAGGAATTGAGGCAAGCACAGTTAATTGTACCTTAGTGAAGAATTAGAGACAGTATAGCATTCAGCTGAGGCTCGGATGTGATCTGCCAATGCACAGGGACCCTTAGCACCATGTAGCTAAAGCCTATCAGTAGACGCTAAGACAATCAATATCTTATCCATCTCAATCCGAGCTTCGTCTTCTTCCACGTACAAGTTGCTCAACTACAAATACAATATTGAATACACCAAATCGCTGGGCTCATCAACTGCCCAAACACCAATCATGACAACTCCAATTCCAAACCCAGACCCGATACCATTATTTCGACCTTCTAAAAAGCGCAAGATTTATAGACAGCGAAATCAAGATGATAACAACGAGATAAACCCCGAAATCTCCACAAACGCGCCCGCGCCAACAGCAGCAGCTATACCCACAGAACAAAGTTTAGATGAACTCATTGCTTCGAATTCCATTCCTATCAAAAAAGAGGAGGGAGATGAAGAAGGTGGAATGGAAGAAACGCCCCTAAGTATATCAGAAATTCTACGTCTGCGAAAACAGCGAAAGAAAATTGGAGGGGTGGAGTTCAAAGCCGAATCTAAAATTCGAGATGGAAATGACGATGAGGAAAATGGAGATGCGCTGGTGAAATATGAAGATAAGGATGCAGAGGAAACACAACCTGAAGGTGGACTTTCAATGCGACGATTTGCGCCACAGATGGGAGTAGTGGGGAGTGGTGTCGATAAACATATGTAAGTACTTTTCGTATTCTTCCCGAGAGAGAACTGCTTGGGTGTAAGTGCGGTGACTAATAGTATAGGATGGCATATATAGAGTCGAAACTCAGACATACATCTCAATCCGTTGATTCTCCATTCACAAATCCTCAAGCAGGAACTCCAAAGAAGGAGACTTCTACAGCCCAATCTAAAGAATCTCAAAGAGCACCTACTACCATGGGTCAAATTCTCGAAATCGATCTGGGAGAAGAATCAAGAGCAAGAAATGCATATCGAACAGAACTAGCTCGCAGAAAAGCAGCAGGTGAAAACATCGAACTCGAAGAATCTACACAACCTCTCCCCAAGCCGCGCCTTGGCCGCGATGGTAAACCCTGGCGTGGTCGCAAAAGAAGAGGAAGCGATGATATTCAACGCGATGCCCTCGTGGATGCTATTCTTCATGAGAATCGTCTCGATATTTACGAGCCTGTACCCTCGAGTAAGGAAACGAATCACACGGCAGGGCTGGCCAATGATGAAATGGTCGCAGAATCATTCCGCAAGGATTGGGAAGAAGCTAGTTCTCATGCATCTTTGCAGAGACAACAACAGATGTCTGAAAAAGCGGCAAAGGATAAGAAGAAAGGAGCTCAGGATAAGACGGAGGAAGAATTGTATATGAAAGGGCCGAAGTTGGGTGGAAGTAGGAGTGCTAGAGCTGCGATGAGGGAATCGATGTTGAAAGGGAAGGCGGTAAAGAGGTAAAGATAGATGAGGGGATATATCGACTTAGAAATGGATGGGAAGAGCTTATCAGTGGGTTACAGCCATTGCTTCGCAGGGTGCGAAAAGAAAGATGGAAAAGGAGAATAACTTGGTGTGCATTCCCGTAAAAGTCACGAATTTGCAAGTGCATCCATCTTTCGGATTAGCTTGCTTGGTATTCCTATCTCTGTTTGTAATTTTATACTCTCCAGTCGCCTGAGTTTATAAGTACAAAGAATAATCATTTTCATCACCTTTCCCTTCCTGAACAATTATCCAGATGCAAAAACCCCTCGCGATATTCAAATTCACACAAATGTATTTCCTACCGTCAACCATTAAATCTCATACTCAATTAAGTCATTCCTTACAGCACTTTTCCATCCCATTTTCTAGGTTCTCAAATGTAGCTAGCTAGGTACCTAATCAACCGACTCAAATAATACAATCACAATCGCAATCACAATCGCATCGCGTATTTAAGGGGCGGGAAAGGAGGGAAGGTGTAGATATAGAGATACATCAAAATATCACCTAGGTAGGTACTTGTTCATTCTAGGTATCGAAGGTTCGTAGTCGACAAAACAAACAATCAATCACTTCTTGCAAAATTCAATCCTACTGGATGGAAATGGATATTATGATTTTATCTTCATGTATACATGTACATACATATACATCTACACAAAGAGGAAATCTCGATTGTGCAGTCGGAGATGAGTATACATGGCATGTAGTATATATAGTATCTATATATCATCACTCCATCGTCATTCCATCACTTCACTGCTCCATTGCTCAATCTCTCAAGCATTCGATTACTGCATGATATAGCTTTTTCCCAGTAGTATGATGGCGTGGTGATGTCTATTGAGCTATCTATCTAGGTACTTGGGTACTTGGAGTTGTGTAGATACTAGAGTTGTGTAGATATTAGATATTAGATATTAGATTCTAGAGAGAGGTCTTGGGGTCTTAGGTGGGTGATCTTTTTGTAGAGAAGGAAGAGGAGGAGGAGGAGTTTGGTATAGGTGGGTGGGTAAATAGATGAGTGGGTGCTTGTTTGTTTAGTAGGTGTGTGTATGTATGTGTGTATGTATGTATGTATGTATGTATGTTACAAAAATCACGAATCAAAGACAAGGAGAAAGAGAAGCCCTAAGAAGGAATAATAAGTATAGGATCTAATGTAATCTGATCTAATCAAATGCGACAGATGGGTATGCTATAGGTACCTAGTTAGTGTCTTTGCTACTTATACCACATCATTCCCATACAATTGGTTCCAACTCAAAAACATAGGATGACATAACATGACATGATATGACACGAGTATATGTTACTCGTTTATTTTATTCCTGGGTATTCAATACCTATATACCAGCCAGCTACTATGTTATGCCGACCAAACTAACCCAACTCAAACAATGGTATAAAAGAAACTATAGTTAAATACAAAAATGTATGCGTCAGGAGATGAAACGCCGTGTGTCCTAATACCTCATAGCGATAGTCTGACTATGGGAGTTACTGTTGATAGCCCATTCATGAATATATTTCCCGGCTGCAATTCCATACATATCCAAATGTCCACGCCAATTCCCTTAACCGAGATATTCATTAATATATCCATCTCGCCGTGATTAATTGCAACCCAAATCTCATCAGCACACTTCCTCAATATCTTTTGCTGTGATTTCCTCTATTCTCTCATCACAGTTACCATCACCCTCCCCATCCAACCTCTCAATCCTCACTCCCATCCCGAAAACATCGCCTCCGTGCACCAACCTCACGGCCTCTCCACTTCCCAACACCAAAACCTCTGTGCCCATCCCCTTC